GAGGGAAAGTCAAGAACAAGGATATGTTTTTAATCCATCCTATTTTTACATTATAAATCTCCTTTTCTTGTGCTCTACTTACCTTTTTTTCTATTCAGTTTCATTACAATATCCAGTAAAAGTTCTGAAATTTTCCTGTCTCCAGAGACCTCTTGATTCACATTTTCAAAGCATTGTGCTTTTTCTTGCAGCATTAGAATCTAGGAGAAATAATCATTTTTATTCATATTTTTCTCATCCAGTATTTTATGGGATCAACTCACAGAAACTTGCCATGCCTTTCTTAAGAGTTGTTCCTTTCAAAACAATGTGTGCTACAAAGTTAGAGCCATCTTGTTATCTGTAGCTGTGAAAGTAGAATGTCCAAGTAAGATTAAATAAAAAAGTACTATGATTTGTCATTTCCAATTTGGATGCCCTATTAGTCACCAATAAATAAAAATAAATTTAATGTGGGAGTAAATATTAAAACATACTGGTAATTACTATCAAAATTTTGATAGTCTTTTGGAGTTTTTCTTTTCCCCTTAAGAATCTTATCTCTACCTTTTAATCAGAATTATGTACTCATTTGATAATGCCTAATAAAGACTGAAATTTCATGTTACTACTTTTTTCTGTCCTATCCCAAAATATAAAAGCTGAAATTATTTGAATCATTTTGCAAGTATTTTCCCCCCAGAGTTCTTTGTTTTCATGTATATTGGATACATTTTAAATTTAAACATGGATGTAATTTTAATGGGTTGAAGAGATATTAAAGTTGAGTAATTAACAAATCATCTATTTTTTTTCTACACACAGAGAATTCTGAACTGCATAGCTCTAGAAAGACATTATTAGTTCATAAGAAGAGAGTAGACTCTTTTTTTTTTCTTTCAAACTCACCATTGTCCTTATCCCCAAACTCCATACCTCCAGTGTTTTGTAGTAGTAATAGCCTACAGGGCCTTTTCCAGACCTCCCTAAATTCTGATAAATGGAGTTTATCCATTACATTACAGACAAAAAGCCTTCAAAGAATTTGGGATCCCTATAAAGAAATGGGAATGAGGAAAAGAGAATAAAAAAGCAATGAAAAGCAAGAAGACATAAATATGTCTCCTTTTCACACTTATATTTTTAAGTGATAAAATGGGAAAGATGATTAAAAAAATTTTCAAAGAGAATATATTAAATTTCTTTAAAGAACAAACAAAAATATGCAAATTATTTGTATAAGTCCTAGGAAAAAATATTTTTTTTCTTCTGGAAAAAAGTAGAAATCAAACTAGAAATCACAAAACTATGAGGACTAGTAATTTCATCCTCTTAAACTAAAATACATTCTCCAGATTATTGAACTATTATACTTTCCCTAAATAAATATTACTTTTTCCATAATAACTAGAAAATGGTGTTACTATGGCATTTACTCTTGAGTGTAAAAAAGCATTAGGAATTGTGGAATTCAAGAAAGAATGATCAATGAGGAAAACTGATTATTTGTCTCATTCTTCTAAAAGTATGTACCATAAGCTTTAGATAATAATCTCCCCAAAAGTCTGAAATAGTAAATGTCTTTAACAAATCATGTATTTTTCCATTAGTTGTAGGTTGCTTCACTTAGAAATAGAATTTTGTAATCACTCTGCATAATGGTAGAATCTTAGGATCACAGACAAAATCACTGATTTCTGTAGATAGTCTGTAGGAAACAAACTATTCTGACTAAGAAACATAGTGACTAAGATCACTTGCACATTTAATTTATCTTGCAGCTCTGTAATCTTTCATAGTTAAATGTTGAATACATACCAATGTTTTTATGGACTTGAGAATTAGTACAGATTATTGAAATGCATGTACAGAGAGCTCATTTTCTACTTTAACAGTAAATAAGCTTTTAAAAATTTATTCTAATACCAAGTCATCTATATCCTGCAGTTATATACATTTTTGGGGGGGGCATACACACAATATTTCAAATAAGGTCATAATATATTCTTTTCATATGATTCTCTTTTTTTTTTCATTAAGGTATGATTGATATACACTCTTATGAAGGTTTCACATGAAAAAACTATGTGGTTACTACATTTACCCATATTATCAAGTCCCCACCCATACCCCAATGCAGTCACTGTCCATTAGTGCAGCAAGTTGCCAGAGATCCACTATGTCCCTTCTCTGTGATACATTTTTCTCCCTGTGATCCCCCATACCATATGTACTAAACATAATACCCCTGAGTCCCCTTTTCCCTCCCTCCCCACCTGCCCTCCTACACCCCTCCCCTTTGGTAACCACTAGTTCATTTTTGGAGTCTGAGTCTGCTGCCATTTTGTTCCTTCAGTTTTGCTTCATTGTTATACTCCACAAATGAGGGAAATCATTTGGCATTTGTCTCTCTCCACCTGGCTTATTTCACTGAGCATAATGTACTCCAGCTCCATCCACATTATTGCAAATGGTAGGATTTGTTTCTTTCTTATGGCTGAATAGTATTCCATTGTATATATGTACCACATCTTTATCCATTCATCTACAGATGGACACTTAGGTTGCTTCCATATCTTGGCTATTGTAAAAAGTGCTGCAATAAACATAGGGGTGCATATGTCTTTTTGAATCTGAGAAGTTATATTCTTTGGGTAAATTCCAAGGAATGGGATTCTGGGGTCAAATGGTATTTCTATTTTTAGTTTTTTGAGGAACCTCCATATTGCTTTCCACAATGGTTGAACTAGCTTACATTCCCACCAGCAGTGTAGGAGGGTTCCCCTTTCTCCGCATCCTTGCCAGCATTCATTGTTCTTAGTCTTTTCGATGCTGGCCATCCTTACTGGTGTGAGGTGATATCTCATTGTGGTTTTAATTTGCATTTCCCTGATATGTGGAGCATTTTCTCATGTGTCTGTTGGCCATCTGAATTTCTTCTTTGGAGAACTGTCTCTTCATATCCTCTGCCCATTTGTTAATTAGGTTATTTGCTTTTTGGGTGTTGAGGTGTGTAATTTCTTTATATATTTTTGATGTTAACACCTTGTTGGATATGTCATTTACAAATATATTCTCCCATACTGTAGGATGCCTTTTTGTTTTGTTGATGATGTCCTTTGCCATACAAAAACTTTTTAGTTTGATGTAGCCCCATGAGTTCATTTTTGCTTTTGTTTCCCTTTCTCGAGCAGATGGGTTCAGGGAGAAGTTGCTCACGCTTATATTCAGGAGATGTTTGCCTATGTTGTCTTCTAAGAGTTCTATAGCTTTATGACTTACATTCAAGTCTTTAATCCATTTCGAGTTTACTTTTTTGTATGGGGTTAGACAGTGATCCAGTTTCCTTCTCTTACATGTAGCTGTCCAGAGAGTAGACTCTTAAGAATATATTTGGCTTTTCACCATGAGGTTAGGAAAACCTAAGGGAGGAGTTTCTCGGAGGTCAAGCCAAGGAAAAGCCTTTGTGAACCAGCGCAAAACCGGCAGCCAGAGGCAGAAATGGGGAATGACTGTTCAGTTTGACTCAAGCTTAAGTAGACTAAGAAGAAGTTTGGAAGGAGAAGCCCTATAAGTGCACTGAATGTGAAAAGAGTTTCAGTCAGAGCTCAACTCTTTTTCAACACCAGAAGATTTATTCTGGAAAGAAATCCCATAAATGTATTGATTGTGGGAAAAGTTTCTTCTAGAGTTCAAATCTCATTGAGCATCGACGGATCCATACTGAGGAAAAGCCCTATAAATGCAATGAGTGTGGCAAGAGGTTTAAACATAGCTCGAATCTCATTCAGCACCAGAGAATTCACACTGGGGAGAAACCCTATCAGTGTGATGAATATGGCCGATGTTTCAGCCAGAGTTCCTACCTTATTCAGCATCAGAGAACCCACACCGGGGAGAAACACTGCCAGTGCAACGACAGTGCTAGTGCTTCAGCTAGAGTGCCCATGTCAGGCAGCAAGTGAAGGTGCACAAAGAAGAGAGGCCTCACAAAGCCTGGGCCAAAAATCTTAGGGCAAATTCTCCCTTAGTATCATCTTGGAAAGCTGGTACAAGCAGGAAGTCAATGGCTGGTCTCCGCAAAGTAAAGGACACTGCTTCAGCCCTTTTAAAAAAGAAAAACGGGGGATTCAAGATGGTAGCATGAGAAGTGAGACAGAGAATTCCTCCCAAAACCACAAATAGTATGAAAATATAGTTAATTGCTACAACTAACCCTAAAACAGCAACAAGAAAGAAGGCTGAACCAGACTACCTGCAGACCTCACAAACAGAGCAGAACTCACAAACACAGGGTAACGTATGGAGAGCCTGTATCAGGCAGGACCCAAGCCCTTCCCCCACCCCAGCTCACCACCGGAGGAAGAGAAACAGAGCGAAGGAGGGTGTGGAAGTCTAGAACTGCTGAACACTGAGCCCCGGAGGTCTGCTTTGGGAGAAGAAACCTACACTGTGTGGTGGTCTGGACATTGGGGATATCAGACAGGTGGAGTGATTCAGAGACAGATTGCAGCCATTTGTGGAGGAGGGGATCCACACACGGCCTCTGTGTCAGAGGAAAGGCAGGCGGTTTGAGAGGATTCCTAGCAGTGAGAAGGCTGCTGAAGGTTTGCATGGGGCTTGCTGTGCAGGGGAGGAGAGAGCTGGACAGGTTGTCTGTGCACGCTCTGCCCAGCTGGTTGGGAACTTTGTGGAACTTCAGGCGCCCCATCCCCTTGGCTGCCTGCTCAGCTCCGAGGCTCCACACGGTGACACACAGCCTGCTGCCTCTTCCTCCTAGCCTGCCGGCACCAGTTTGCAAACCAGCAATCACTGCGCTGGTGTCAGGCCAGCCAGAGGGAGACCCCACCCACAACAGCTAGAGACTCAAAGCACAGAGGCTTTCACCTCTGCTTGGCCCACTTCTCTGACACTGGAGACAGGCACCGCAGACGGGAATCAGGAAACAGATATTTCCTCCCCCCAGGCACCAGCTCTGCTCCCCTATGACTCCCAACCTCACTCTAGGGGCTGAGCAGCTCCAGAGACTGGAGCTTCTGGGCACTAGCAGGTACCACACAGAAATATGAAATGTCAAAAGAACATGGTTCAGACCAAAGTCTCACAAACCTCAAAAAAAGGGCCTAATGAAACTGAACTCACCAATCTGCCTGAAAGGTCAAAATAAAAATCATAAACATGCTTATGGAGGTATAGAAAAATATTCAAGAACTCAGGAACGAATTTAAGTCAGAGATTCAATCATTAAGAAATTCCATATCTGAAATGAAACATACAATGGAGGGATTTCAAAGCAGATTAGATGTAGTAGAAGAGATGGTAAATGGAATACAAATTAGAGAAGAGGAATACAAAGAACTTGAGGCACAAAGAGAAAAAAGAATCTCTAAGAATGAAAGAATATTGGGAGAACTGTGAGACCAATCCAGATGTAACAATATTTGAATTATAGGGATACCAGGAGAAGAAGAGAGAGAAAAAGGGATAGAAAGTGTCATTGAGGAGGTAATTACTGAAAACTTCCTTAATCTGGGGAAGAAAATAGTCTCTCAGGCCATGGGGGTGCACAGATCTCCCAACACAAGAGACCCTAGGAAGACAATGTTAAGACATATAATAATTAAAATGGCAAAGATCAAGGATAAAGACAGACTTTTAAAAGCAGCTAGAGAGAGAAAAAAGATCACATACAAAGGAAAACCCATCAGGCTATCATCAGACTTCTCAACAGAAACCATACAGGCAAGAAGGGAGTGGCGTGATACATTTAATGCAATGAAGCAGAAGGGCCTTGAACCAAGAATACTATACCCAGCAATGTTATCATTTAAATTTGAAGGAGGGATTAAACAATTTTCAGATAAAAGTTGAGAGAATTTACCTCCCACAAACCGCCTCTACAGTGCATTTTGGAGGGACTCCTACAGATGGAAGTATTCCTAAGGCTAAATGGATGTCACCCAAGGGATAGATAAAGAGCACAGAATATGATTCATAACATACAAAGAATGGAGGAGGAATAAAAAGTATGAAAAAAAGAAGAACCTTTAGGTTGTGTTTTTAATAGCACATTAAGTGAATTAAATTAGACTGTTAGTAAGGGAATTAGCCTTGAACCTTTGGTAACCACAAATCTAACGCCTCCAATGGCAATAAGTACATACCTGTCAATAACCACCCTAAATGTAAATGGTCTGAATGCACCAATCAAAAGACATAGAGTCACTGAATGGATTAAAAAACAAGACCCGTCTGCCTAGAAGAGACTCACTTCAAACCCAAAGACATACACAGACTGAAAGTAAAGGGATGGAAAAAGATATTTCATGCTACTAACAGGGAGAAAAAAGCAGAAGTTGCAGTACTGGTATCAGATAAAATACACTTCAAAACAAAGAAAGTCACAAGAGACAAAGAAGGACATTACATGATGATAAAGACGTCAGTCCAACAAGAAGATATAACTATTGTAAATATCTATGCACCCAACACAGGACCATCTACATATGTGAAACAAATACTAACAGAATTAAAGGGGGAAATAGAATGCAATGCATTCACTTCAGGAGAGTTCAACACACCACTCACTCCAAGGGACAGATCAACCAGACAGAAAATAAGTAAAGAGACAGAGGCCTTGAGCAACATATTAGAACAGATGGACATAATGGACATCTACAGAACACTCCATCCAAAAGCAACAGGATACACATTCTTCTCAAGTGCACATGGAACATTTTCCAGAATAGATCATATACTAGGCCACAAAAAGAGCCTCAATAATTTAAAAAAGATTGAAATTGTTTGAATTGAATTGTTTGAAATGAAATTTAAAAAAGATTGAAAGATTGAGAAACTAGCCAGTTTCTCAGATCATGAAGGTATGAAATTAGAAATAAATTACACAAAAGAAACAAAAATCCCACAAACAAATAGAGGATTAATAACATGCTCCTAAATAATAAATGGATCAATGACAAATAAAAACAGAGATCAAGCAATATATGCAGAAAAATGACAACAATAATTCAACGACACAAAATCTGTGGGACGTAGCGAAGGCCATGCTAAGAGGGAAACATATTGCAATACAGGCATACGTCAGGAAAGAACAATCCCAAATGAATAGTCTAAACTCACAATTAATGAAACTAGAAAAGGAAGAACAAGTGAGGCCCAAAGTCAGTAGAAGGAGGGACATAACAAAGATTAAAGCAGAAATAAATAAAATCGAGAAGAATAAAACAATAGAAATAATCAATGAAAACAGGAGCTGGTTCCTCAAGAAAATAAACAAAATAGATAAACCCCTAGCGAGACTAATCAAGAAAAAAAGAGAGTCTACACACATAAACAGATTCAGAAAGAAAAAGGAAGAATCGCCACAGACACCACAGAAATACAAAGAATTATAAGAGAATACTATGAAAAATTATATTGTAACAAACTGGATAACTTAGAAGAGATGGACAACTTCCTAGAAAAACACAACCTTCCAACGCTGACCCAGGAAGAAACAGAAAATCTGAATAGACCAATTATCAGCAAAGAAATTGAATTGGTAATCAAAAAACTACGCAAGAACAAAACTCCTAAACCAGATGGTTTCACTACTGAATTTTATCAAACATTTAGTGAAGACCTAATACCCATCCTCCTTAAAGTTTTCCAAAAAGTAGAAGAGGAGGGAATACTCCCAAACTCATTCTACGAGGCCAACATCACTCTAATACCAAAACCAGGCAAAGACACCACAAAAAAAGAAAATTACACACCAATATCCCTGATGAACATAGATGCAAAAATACTCAACAAAATATTAGCAAACTGAATTAAAAAATACATCAAAAGGATCATCCATCATGATCAAGTGGGATTCATCCCAGGGATGCAAGGATGTTACAACATTCAAAAATCCATCAACGTCATCCACTATATCAACAAAAAGAAGGACAAAAACCACATGATCATCTCCATAGATGCTGAAAAACATTTGACAAAATTCAACATCATTCATGATAAAAACTCAACAAAATGGGTATAGAGGGCAAGTACCTCAACATAATAAAGCCCATATATGACAGACCCACAGCCAACATTATACTTAACAACGAGAAGCTGAAAGCTTTTCCTTTAAGATCGGGAACAAGACAAGGATGCCCACTCTCCCCACTTTTATTCAACATAGTTCTGGAGGTCCTAGCCACGGCAATCAGACAATGCAAAGAAATAAAAGGCATCCAAATTGGCAAGGAAGAAGTCAAACTGTCCCTGTTTGCAGATGACATGATATTGTACATAAAAAACCCTAAAGAATCCACTCCCAAACTACTAGATCTAGTATTCGAATTCAGCAAAGTTGTGGGGTACAAAATTAATACACAGAAATATATTGCATTCCTATACAGTAACGATGAACTAGCAGAAAGAGAAATCAGGAAAACAATTCTATTCACAATTGCATCAAAAAGAATAAAATACCTAGGAATAAGCCTAACCAAGGAAGTAAAAGACCTATACCCTGAAAACTATGGGACACTCTTAAAAGAAATGAAAGAGGACAATAATAAATGGAAATTCACCCCCATGCTCTTGGCTAGGAAGAATTAATATTGTCAAAATGGTCATACTTCCTAAAACAACCTACAGATTTAATGCAATCCCTATCAAAATACCTACAGCATTCTTCAGTGGACTAGAGAAAACAGTTCGAAAATTCATATGGAACCACAAAAGAACCTGAATCACCAAAGCAATCCTGAGAAGGAAGAATAAAGCAGGGGGAATTATACTCTGTGACTTTAAGCTCTACTACAAAGCCACAGTAATCAAGACAATTTGGTACTGGCACAAGAACAGACCCATAGACCAGTGGAACAGACCAGAGAGTCCAGGTATAAACCCAAGCATATATTGTCCATTAATATATGATAAAGGAGCTATGGATATACAATGGGGAAATGACAGCCTCTTCAACAGCCAGTGTTGGTAAAACTGGACAGCTACATGTAAGAGAATGAAACTGGATTATTGTCTAACCCCATACACAAAAGTAAGCTCGACATGGATCAAAGACCTGAATGT